TAGTACGATGTATATCGAACATTAACACGCTGTGGTACTGCGGTCTTTTCCCTTCTAACAAAACACTTTGTTTACAATTAACTCTGTGGAGTATTTCTTATCTTAAACGAAGTCTAACTTCAACCAACTGAGGTGTTTTGGTATTTTATGCTTCGTGCATTAGCACTAAACAGTGATTGGGGTTTTCTGTTACTGAGTTCGAACGATTGAATTTATTACCACAGGTAACTCAGGCTCTGTGATAGTACCACAGTACGGTTCCAGTAAAATTACAGTGTTTGTATGGGGTAAAAATATCATCCTAAAATTTCTAGGAAATACTAAATAAAGATCAATAAAACTTACCCTGCAGTTAATTGTTGTTGTCCTTATTGCTCCAACGAAGTTTCGTGATAATTTGCAGTAATTTGTTTAAATTCACTCTATCTACAATAATAATATACAAGGTAGGAAACACGAGGTGCCATTTTCGCCGACATGCTCTCATTCAACACAACTTTTTCCACGAAATTCGAACTCCAACGGAAAATAAACATGCCAGGATCGTAGAAATAGGATAGCAGCAGATATAGAAACCAATGAAGCTTTCCCAGATAGAGAAACGAATCCCACAGACTTTGACAAACTCGAAGAATATAATCCAGACAGACCGAGAATATGCTCGCCGAAGCAGCAGGGCCAGATCAACTCGCGGCCAAGAAAATGAGGCCTGGTCACTGTACAAAAAAAAATCATCCAGGGAGTCCTGAGGTGACCTTTCTGGGCACCGATTCATCATTTGCCCAAAGCCACCCTCCCCTACTGAAAAAATACTTAATAGAAGGTAATTGTTCTTCCTAGCCGTACCACCCTGGCCTGTTATAAAGAGATTATGTCCCTCTCGAACTATATTCATCGCCTGGCGCTGGTCCTCAGAAAGTTTATCAAACATCAATAGGGCAAGGTTATAAGGGCAAAGGAAAGAACAACGAAGGAGGATTTACAAAACTTAAAACGAGCAAAAGATATAAGTGAATTTTGGCTCTTACCGAGGCATTTGTACAACAGGACCAAATTCAAACAGTGGTGTATCACGATGATTCACATATTTAACTGATAGAGCGTTCACTTGTATTGACAAGAAGTCGGCGTCTTACTGCCGTATTAATCGCTAAATATGTTAATCGCGCTAGTTCTTTGTTTACTGGTGCACGTGCCTTTAACATTCGTCTCAGTTATCGCAATTCATATTCTGTCGCAATTTTCTGTATAATTTTTGACATTAGTTTGCAAGCTTCACCGTTTATTTACGATAGTTTCGCTCGAGAGTTCACAGCAACAGTATCTCAGTCATCATCTACCTTTTGTTCAACCTTGTTTTAGCCCGCCTTGTAAGTATTTCGCGTTGTTATTTCATTAGTTTCATTACTGTTATTTGCATTCCTTAGTAAAAGAAATGGGGCGCCTTGTAACTCCGCAGACTCTCCTGATTATATTAATTTTTTATTAGCCATTCAAATTTAGGCGCGTGTGGGGGTTTGCTCTGGCAAATAGTGATTGGCTAGGAAGAACGATTGCCTTCTAGCAAGTATTTTTCCAGCAGGGGAGGGTGGCTTTCGGCAAATGATGTATCGGTCCCTAGAAAGGTAACCCCAGGACCCCCGGGATGGAATTTTTTTGTACAGTGCCCAGGCCTCATTTTCTTGGCCGCGCGTTGATCTGGCCCTGCTGCTTCGGCGAGCATATTCTCGGTCTGTTTGGATTATATTCTTCGAGTTTGTCAAAGTCTGTGGGATTCGTTTCTCTATCTGGGAAAGCTTCATTGGTTTCTATATCTGCTGCTATCCTATTTCTACGATCCTGGCATGTTTATTTTCCGTTGGAGTTCGAATTTCGTGGAAAAAGTTGTGTTGAATGAGAGCATGTCGGCGAAAATGGCACCTCGTGTTTCCTACCTTGTATATTATTATTGTAGATAGAGTGAATTTAAACAAATTACTGCAAATTATCACGAAACTTCGTTGGAGCAATAAGGACAGCAACAATTAACTGCAGGGTAAGTTTTATTGATCTTTATTTAGTATTTCCTAGAAATTTTAGGATGATATTTTTACCCCATACAAACACTGTAATTTTACTGGAACCGTACTGTGGTACTATCACAGGGCCTGGGTTACCTGTGTTATTACCTGCCAAATGCTGTCTAAATATCCGTGCGTATAAATTTGCACCCGAACTGCTTCTTCTGTTAACGAGCATGATAGTTGTTATATTTTCAGAATATCCAACGCTTTATCCTTTGTTATTTTGATTTCGCTCAATATCAACAATTGTAGTCTTTTTTAGTTTGTTCACTGATGGATACCAACTGAAGCAGATTAACCGTTGAATGTAACAATGATGTCTACATCATCGAAGTTGGGCTAGGCGTCGTGGGCCTGTTCACCGTCTGATTCGCCAATTGTTTCACTGTCTTCTTCGTCTTCGGCTTCATCTTCACTGCAAGAATCTTCGTTCGTGGATTCCCTTGTTCGATCGCCACTGCTAGCTCTAAAAAGGCTCAGTAGATCCATGAAACGTTTTTGGACCTGAAAGAAAAAATTTAAAACATATAATTGATTCAACAAAAGAAGGTCGCCAAGAGCTGAAAGAAAAAAAAGTACCGGGAAGGAGTACAAAAAAAACAGACGGCAAAACCACTGAGTGAACGGTGACAAATCGGAAAAGCAGACAAGGGTGAGAATCGCGGGATGATTTCATGGCATTTTAGTCATTTACATTTTTCTTAAGAGGTAAACTGATGTATGGATTTAGTCAGCCTAAAAGCGGAGCACCTGATAAATACCAAGAGTCTTCTTTGAATGAAAAATTACTAACAGGCCAGTGGATTACTAAAGAAATACGTGCCATGATGAGTGTGGTTCCTGAGTCCACAAAACGGCCATAAAATACAGGTCAGCGGTTTAGACCATTATGACAGCTGTGATATGCCGTCTTAATGCGCTTTAAATACCTCGGCTGCAGTTTTATTTTTCAAACTGTTTGCTATGTGTTGGAATGTTTCTGATTTTGCACCCATCTGTTGACAAGTTTGTAAAATCGTCCGGTCGTCCTCCCTTAACAACCAAAAAGAACAAGAACATTCTTAGACATAAAAATAGAAACAAATTTATTATTATTTCCCTCGATATAATAATGAGATAAAAAAAGAATTCAATCTGGCCTGGTACAAGCTCAGTGTCCCAGTTATACGTAAACAACCCAGAGTGGTGCATCACTGATTGATTTTGAGCTTCGTTTAAAATGCTTGATTTGACGCGTGTAGGATCATTGTTATCAGTTGGCCATATCATATTCTAGTTTATAATTAACGCTATATATACCGCTTAACACGTGGCAGAGGCAATTCATTTAGTTTCTATAAGTGATTGAAGCAAAAGTTCAAGACATCTTGTAATGTAATTTTAGTTTACCCTCCCTACCACCCACCCACTTTCGGCTCCAGAGGTTTATCTCACCAACTCAAAAAATCTTGTACAAATGTAATAAATTACACTTGTACACATGTAAACGTTTGAGAAGATTTGCCCCGGTACTGCTGGGTTGTTTGTAATTAATGTGGACGGGCCCAAACGTTTCAAACCAGAAGGGCTAATCCAACATTATTAAATACCGAAACAGATTATTATCCTAGCTCCTAGGCGCAACAGGGGGCGCGATCTTTCGAGTAAACCGGTCACTCTTAAATAGGCTTTTCAAAGCTTACCTGGTCCATAGCAGAACCACCTGTCCGTCTTCACTTCGTTGAAGGTTTTTAGCTGGCACAACACCCGAAGAGGCCATATCAACGTCGCCACTACCACAATCACTTGCGGCAGCATCACTTCTGACGTCACCAACTACGTCACCACTTGTAAAGTCATTATTATAAACAGCAGGTTCACCATCCAGAAAATCGTCATCTTCATCCTCTTCATACCCATCATGCTCCACGTCGGAATTCCCATCATACTCTTGTTCCTCGCTTTCGTAGTTCCTCACCTCGCGTTCTTCATGTTCAGGGCTTAAAGTGTCCCCAGATGCCGGGTTTAGTTCCTCTCCGTGATAACTGTCATTACTAGTTTCTGATTGCAGCGAGGTTGCTGCTGATGACAAAGGTCCTTCTTGAGGGTGAACCTCATTTCTTTAATCGTCCAATCCACTTTCCTCCCCTGTAACTTCTCCATTTGTTGGAATACTAGGGGGGTACGTGTGTTTCAGATTTCCCCCCTCATTTTCTCCGACGGATCCCCCAAGGAGAGTATATTGCTTGCCTCCCTTAGTGAGGTTAGTTTTTGTTTTAGTTTTATTTCCTGCCGGTTTACTTGCATTTCCCTGTTGTTTTGAACCTTTAGCTATCCCAGAAGGTTTTTTGTTTTTCCTTGTCTTGTTTTTCTGAGTTTCTCTTGGAGGGCGACCTTTCATTTTCTTCGGCTCCACAAAACATGGTATTTCCACTTCTTCAAAATCGTCCACCTTCAAAAATCATCACAAGAAGTTAGACTAACCTTAAACTACAACTTAAAGTTCTATCTCTTATTTTTGTTTGTGTGTTTTTTGGTGAATACGTGTTTAAATCTAATGCTTTACGTTTAAAAAAGAGAACAATGGCGCTATAAAGTGTCCTGTTTTCAAACCTTTTGAAACCTTATTCCTCAACATTGGGTATCTGGGAGAACTTTAACAGAACATGTTTAATACCATACCTCTGTTTCGCTGCCACTTCCAAACTCAAATTCCTCGAAATCATCATCGGAACTTGAAAAACAAACAGACCATGATAAAGTCGTTTTATGAAGAATTGATTATTTTCCGTACCAAATGGATAAGAGTGGATCGTACTGTTTATTTATTTATTTATTTATTTATTCTTGCTGCATTTATTTATTAATTTTAATTATGTTATCTCACCACTCAGGGGGCTTTATGTCTTCAAAAAATGAGTAAAGTTCTTCAATCAGGTGCGTCTGGCCTTTAAGCATTGGAACAAGAGTTTGTCGTAGCTGAAATGGTGAAACAAAAACATTGAGGATGACTGCTACTAATAACAACAACAATAACAGTAACAATAATTTATTTAACCACGTTATCGTCTAAGAGCACAAGTACTCGTTCAAAATACGAACATGCATTAAATCTACAATTATCACAATAATACCTAGTATAAAAAAAATTAAATCTATAATCTATAATCTATGTACACATGAATATAAAAAATTATAAAAATTACAAAAAAATTTAAAAATATGTAAAAATTACAGCAGAATTGATTTCCCGTGAAATACACAGTGAAAGACCATATTTCTAATACTAAACTAGAAAAAGGCGATCATTATTACATCCAAACACGGCACAAGGATCTTTTTTCCCATTACAATCTTATTCTAAGAAAACTTTACGAAAAAATGTCCCGGAAAGAGCCCGAATATAGAAAGGAAATGCGCTCATGCCCCCCTGGGCATCCTATAATACTCCTTAAATCGAATTGATTCAATATGGTTGCCGTATCGGTAAAAAGGTCTATTGCTGCTTTTTCCTACACTCTTAAGTGTCCAACTTACATACATTTAAGAGTTTAACCAATGAGCGATCAACAGAACAGGAGTGACACAAAAGAAGCTGAACGGTTTATTGGTGTGCTACACAGTAAAATGCAGTACACAAAAACGGACCGGAAGGATACAGTTACTGGTTTTGTATATTCTTCTTCTTCTTCTTCTTTTTTTTTTTCCGTAATTTGTTTACCCACGGAGCTCTTAGGAGTTCGTTAGAACTCGTTGAAACGTGTCCAAGCGTTCCAGATCGAATTCAAGTATTACAAAAGACTTTGGGATGGACAGATTACCAAATTTTTCTTACCTATGGGGCTTCCCCAAAAACAAACAGACACAAAAAGTCAAATGCCTATCGCATACCTCCAGAGGGTCTTTGACTGCTTTCTTATTCCAAGAATGAAACGCGTTGATTATCTTCCTGAATTGAGAAGGAGTCCGTTGGAAATGAACCTAGTAGCAAAAATATAGAGAAGCCCAACGTTTCGCGCTCTGAAAGGGCAATTCAAGTCCATGCAATGTGAAAGGTTGTAAAACCGACTAACCACTAAGTAGCCTCCCGACTGAGACGTCTTTTGGGCTGGTCGCGCAGTCCTCCCCAACGAACGTCTGCTGAAGCGGGCGGTTAAAAACGTAGACCAATCACAGCACACTTCCAGATCTGGGAATTGTGCTTTGCACCTTGAAAAATTTAACGCGAGACCCGCGGCGCGAGACTTCAGAAAAGGTCAGCAAAGTCTCAAAAGTTCTCGTAAATGGAGAAACCCTTAGATTTCTGCGCCCGGGGGTACTTCCTATAATGGCTTATAACGGCTCTTTTTCACGCTTCAGATATATGAAAGGGTAGGGATTTTCACTAGTTGAAGTATATGAAAAATATGACATTTTGGTCTGTAAAAGGCCTAAAATGGCTGGGGTACCATTTGTCAATAAAGGGTATACGAAAATGGTACTTTTTCTTTCAAAAATGATATACAAAAGGAAAGGGGGTTGGACCTCGGGGTAGAGCCTCCGCCCCCGTATAAAACTTTGTTGAGTTCAACCTGGGATAAAAAGCCGCCAACGAACTATAGAAATTCAACTGTACTTTGCAGGCGTCTGTTTCTCTTATGTTTCCTGAGATTTTGCACTGCTTTATCTCGAACAAATAAACTAACTAGTGCAAATAAAAAGTATTTTAACTGACCTCAAGCTTTCTCAGGAACGTTCTTGCTCTCACAAACTCTAAGTTTGCCATAAACTATGAAATATCAAGAAGAAGGAACGGTTATAACATTGTGGTGTTGGCTCGGGATACATTAATTTACAGAAAAGACTCTGCCTTGGTGTTTCGCACCTACGCACTAAATGGCTAATAAGGTCTTGGTCATGATCCAAGAGTGACGATAACAAGATTTTTCCAATGAAAAAAGAAGGGAATAAACTGCCCACCTACTCCTCCCCTAAGCTAACATCAACGTAAATATTGGTTTAGGGGAGGGGTAGGTGGGCAGTTTTCATAAAACCTAAATTGATCCAAAAGAAAGTAAGGAACTTACCACGCCCGCTTCAACTGCCTGGTGAGGCTCTAAAAATCCTACAAAACCCTCCACAAGGGCAGGATAATCTGCCAGTACAACTTCAACCCTTCTGTATAACTAAAAAAAATGATACTGAGATAAGCTGTAATTCACCACTTAAGAAACACGTCTGACTTACGTGATCGTCATTAACTGGCGTGATACAACTCACTTTGACTCTGAAGATGACTACCGCACAGATCGCCGAAACGTCAGTCATTGTCAACAACAACAGTCCTATTCAGGACTACGTTCAACCGGACGATCAAACTCAACCTGCTTTTGAAATGACTCCTGGGTCCAACCTTTCACAAGAAGGGAACTGGAGACGAAATGTGTCTCGCAATTGTTTCTGTACTCGTTACTGGGGACGCGCCGGTCAGCTATTGGCCAATTTTTTTCCTTGTCCTTAGCAACAGTTCCAGAAGTCTTGGCGAAAGTTAACCATATAAAGAAAAATGACCAGAAAGCCTGGGAGTCATGTTACAATTCTGATATATCGTGGGCTATTGAGTAATTTCAATAATAATTTATACGCATTCACTTTTTTGAGTTTTATGCCTGAAATCTCACCTGCTGAACTCATTTGCCTTCAAAATTTACCAAACCACGCGTTTCAAAAGGGTTTGGTCGACGGATTGGTGCCTGACTTTTCGAATCTCGGTCACCAGCAAGAAATGAATGACAGTATTAGGTGTCACTCACCCATGCACCTGGGTAAGTGAGCAACTGGGTCAACGTCTCCAAACAGTAGTTACCTCTACTGGGGAGCACTGCTCCTGGGAAGATATTGCCAGCGTTCGTAGAAATTCCTCCGTAAGTTTCGGGGTCGTTCGTTAGCTGTTTCTATCAAAAGGAAGGCAAAAACAATACTTACTCTTCCTGACTTAACTCTTTTAAGATTTCTCATACTATGACATTAAGGGTGATGTTTTTCGAGACGATTCGCAACGACGATTCTTAGCGCAATGCAAGCCCAGCAACGTGGCTGCGACATTCTTTCGAATGGTTACAACATTGTTCCGACACTCCAACGTTTTGTTGCGCAAATAATTGTCGTTGCGAATCGTCCCGTGTAACATCACCTGAAAGGAGCTGAATTACGCAATTTATACCACCTTCGTGCTTCGAAATAGACTTCGAATACCACTTAGAATTATGGAAGAAATACTGCCTTTTCACATGACGTCATGGCGGCCATATTGGTGTTACAAAACAATGAAACGGCGGCCATGTTGGTGTTCCAATCCAGTCTTGTAGGATTTGAACTCCTTCTTGAGTAAACGCTCTCTTTTGTTCCAATAAATTTGGACAGATGCTGGTCACGTGAGAGAAAACGCTCAATACACCCAAGTATCGATGAGTGATTTGAAGTAAGAAGTAGTAACGCGTAGTAGTAAATCTCTATATGGCATGACTTCAGTTTGCTTTAGCATATAGTATGTAATTTATTGAATTGGCCGTCTTTACTAGTTGTTTGCCCTTGAAAAACCACGTGACATTGCTTTTGTCGCTTGAATCCTTTCGTGCGTGCAAGATGGCAGGCATGGCGAAAGCAGCCTACAAAAATCATCCCTTTAGGTCTGTTGTCACCGATTTCGCAAAAGTTTACCAAAAATGGGGTATTAAACTAAAGAATGGACCTCACCTTAACCTTGGCTATGAAATGTTCAGCAAATGCTTGAGCCCTGTTCCTAAACTGAGAGAATCAAAACAAGAATAAATATCAAAATAGAAAGCAGGGAATGGAAAACCGGAAACTTGAGCAATAGCTTTACGTTTTCCTTGGGGAATGCACCCACATTTTATTGATATTTTCTATATGCGTATATAGCATTTTTAGGAAGGATAATTAATGGACTCCATGCAATTATCGTCTGTGCTACACAGTGTCAAGAAATATACTATTATATTTGCGTTCACTATAAACAAGAGAAAAACCGAAAATTGAAAACCGTTGAGTTAGTACAGTACACTTTGGGCGCTTTTCAGTCAACTAAAACATCTGGTTTGAAATTTCGGCAACTTCTAGTAGCGAATGGAACAGCATTTTCCAAAATTTCCAAAAAAGAGGACAACCTCGCGAAGTATACCCAAATTTTCGAAAATTTTTTCCGAAAGTTTTCTTTCCCCTCAACTTTGCCCGCGGAATTTCTTTAATTTTCGCTTGAATGGTTCGCATTTCGGAAATTCAATAGTTTTCGGATTTTCTGGAAACTTCCCCCCATTCGCGGCTATTTCCAAATTCTCGAAAGTTTCTTCGGTTGAATGGAAAGCGCCATTTACCTTAGGGTCTGGTTCCAGAATGTAATTTCCCGCCATTCCAGCCTGTGAGTTTAGCGCAGCTTTACGCGAGGTCCCACTGCCGGCACCTCCGCTCTCAGACCCAGTCACGTGTGACTTTGATGTCACGCGACCACATGCCACGCTACTCCCATTTTTGTCACGCGATGCCTTTAGTTTAGAAACAGGAACTGGTTCGTTACTTGTGTTCGTTGATGATGTCTTTTCTGTTGCCTCCTTCGATGCATTCTCTTGCTCACTGTTAGTCTCCTTTGTAGCAGCATTTGAAGAATTTGAATCAGCTTCAGAAGGAGGAACAATCGGTTCATTGTCCGATGTTTCGTCCATTGGGGCGACAGTTTCATCATTTACGGAAGAATGGTTGGAATCAACGTTTGTATCCAAATCAGTTTCGGGTGCAGATGCAAGACTTGGTGGTGAATTATCCTCTCTCGTAGTCATGGTACTGGCAAGGTGAACACTTAAATAAAAAAGGAAATAAAATTAACTTTCTCGCACTCATTGACAAAAACACACATAAAAAAATATTCTAAAAGCAATGTTAAGACTGGTTTTTCATCTGAGCCC